TCAAAAAAAAAAAAAAAAAGAAAGAAAGAAAGAAAAAATATCGAAAAACTTAACTTTTAGAAAAAAGTGAAATTTTTTATAGCAGTAGCTTCTTAAAAATATAAAGGTTCATTTTCAGAGCCAACTGCTTTTGTTTTTGAATAAAGTTTGAAAAAAACTACAAAAATGTAATTCTTTTAATCTTTTTTAAAGAAACATAAATTTAAGAGTGTTATTAGCTTTTAGACAACAGGAGGATTTTTTTTATAGTTGACTTACGATTTTCAAACATTACTTGAATTTTTCTCCTTGACAGGAATCAGAAAGATGATTTCTGGGCAGCAGGGAGAAAGATGGTAAAACCACTTTTTCAAATTCAACAGTATTGTATGAATACTCAAAAGTGAGCTTGCTTACCTCTCTCGTTGGCACGAGTACCAGCGCATAGGGGCCATCACTGCGCTGTTAACACAGAGAAAAGAAATGCTGTAAGTAGAATGAAGACAGGTCAGACTGCCAATGTACAGGGCTCAGGGTGGCCAGCTGGAGAACATCAAAAGCATTCCCAGTGAAGAAACGGAGAAAGCAGGGATGCCCACTAACCCCATTATTCTAGAACAGCTCTAGAGATCTTAGCCCAAGCAATCAGGTAAAAAAAAAAAAAAAAGAAAAGAAAATTATGATGTATAAAATTGAAAAGTAGGGGCCAAAATTATCATTATTAGCAGATAATACTATATTATCCTAGAAAAATCACATTTATAGTAGCAACAAAGAGTAAGCTTAACAAAAAGGGCACAAAATCTACATAAAAAATAAATTTAGACACCTCTGAGGGTTATAAAATAAAATTTGCATAAGTAGAAAGATACAGTCTATGTTTAGATAAGACTCAATATTATAAATTAAATCAATCCATCAATGTAATATAATTCTATAAAGAATGCCACAAATATGTATATATGCATATGTATAAAATAACATATAACCAGACAAGCTGATTTCAAAGTTCATATGGAAAATTAAATGTACAAAAATAACAGGCAATTATGAAAAACAGATCAGACATTAAAATAATTTGAAGCTATAGCAACTTAAAAAATAATAAGAACACATAAATAAACTACAATAGCAAAAAGTCTAGACTAGGACCAAATACATACAGAAATTTAGGTAATAATATAAGCACCATTTTACATTAGTAAGGAAAAGATGGTTTATTCAAAAGTCCTTTGGAAAAAAAATTAGAAAAATAAAGCTAAAATTAAGTTGGCCTTTCTACAGATGATACAAAACTCAGAAACCTGAGAAAAAAACACTAATAAATTTTATTACATAAAAATTAAAAATTCCAGAATGAGAAAATACCTTAACAAAATCAAGAGCCAAATGACAACCTGGGGGGGCGGGGGAATAAGTCCCACCTAATATACAGAGTGCTAATTTCCTTAACTTAGAAAGGAGTCCTATAATTCAATTTAAAAACAACAACAAAAAAAACCCTGTCACAGGATTAGAGTTAAAAAACAAAAACACCACCAATCAAATAGAAAAATGGAGAAAGGACATAGACAGCTATTTTATGGAAAAAAGAATTAAAAATATAGCTATTACAAATATGAAAAGATGTTCAACTTTACTCCTAAGCATTTTTCCTGTCAAGTGAGCAAATTAAACAGCTAATCATGGAGACGAGGGCATGGGCAAACAGGCATTCTCACACTACTGATGAGAATGCATAGTATTTACCGACATAAAAATGCAAATCCCACTTAAAAGAACTTCTCAGGCAGATACACGTGAATAAAGAAAGAAGTTGTAGAATATTTTATAGGGTGTATTTATAATAAGCTTGTTCATAGCAAAATATTGAACACAATATAAATTCCACCACCTGGGAGTGATTCCATAATTTATGATGCACACACACGACGGAATACTAGTCAGCCATTAAAAAGAGCAAGACAGCTCAATATAGTACTAATATAAAACTGTCCCCAAAACATATTAAAGGAACAAAAGGCCCAGAACATCATGTGTAACCACAACCATTTGTGCCAAACAGAAAAACAAACAAGGACTTCACATAAAGAAGGAAGAAGAATTACGCATACACATATTTGCTTGACAGGTGAAGAATTTCCCTGGGAGGATCTCTAAGAGACTGGTAATAACAACACTGCATCTGGAGAAGCAAACCATGCCACTAGGGGAAAGGAGAAGCAAAAGAACTTACTTTTTACTCCATATTTCTTTGTTACTCTTTGAATTTTCTAAACATATATAGTACATATTATAAAAATATTAGTACGAAATAAAAGAAACTAAAGCAATCTGATAAAGGCCCCAAGTCAATGGTGCCTTATATCAGAAATGCTCAAAGTTGGTGAATGAATGAATTAAAACAAGGAGCTAAGTGCAAATTCAATTGCAAGTATAGTTTTCATGTTTTGCATAGGAAACCTTTACCCAGGAGGAAAAAACGATTTGGAATTTGAAACAGAGTGATCTGTGCTCCACATCAACTTTGTGAGACTAAGCTGAAGTCAAGTTAGAAACAGTAAATATGTTAGTGCAACAGTATCGATGTGTGTGTGATGTTAGGGGATTCTGACATTTCAAAAGGTGATACTACACCAAAAAGAAGAAAGAGAAAAATCAGTTCCTCATGGAGCACAAGTGAAGAAGGATGGATGTGATGTTAAAAAAAATCAGAACTAAAGTAAATGAAAAAATGCAAACACAGAAAAAGCAGCCCATTTTCACGCTTTCAGCCAAGTAATTTAAGAATCTGTTGAGTACACTGACTTTGTTGCTCCCTCGAGACGAGTTTTTACAGGTCAAATCATTTTACAGTGAAGTCCAAAGGATTATATTGAATATTACTTGAAATAAATGAATTAAGTTGCTGCTTAGAAAACTGTTGTTTTTACAGAATGTTTCAGACTTAAATAGAACCTGTTTATTAGTGACGATATTAAGAAGTATTTGAGCCGGGCATGGTGGCTCATGCCTGTAATCCCAGCACTGTGGGAGTCTGAGATGGGAGGATTGCTTGAGCTCAGTTGGAGGCTTGTCTGAGCCAGAGTGAAACCTCGACTCATGAAAAAAATTGAAAAACCAGCTGGGCGCCGCAGCAAGCACCTGTAATCCCAGTGTCTTTGGAGGCTGAGGCAGCAGGATGCCCAGAGTCTGAGGGTGAAGTGAGCTATGGTGCCACTGCACTCTGCTCAGAGCATAGGGTAGGACACCAAAAACAAAAAAAAACAAAAAAACCTTGCATGGCTTGTTAATGGCTCTGAATATAAGCAAATGGAATCATTGCCTTCAAGCAGCCACACCACATTGATAATGACAGCTAAAACAGCGAGCATGTGCTGCGCCACAAGCGAAGACACTGAGGCCCAGAAGGCGAGGTTATTTGCCTTGCTACACCCAAGCCAGGATTTGAACAGAGCTGCCCACCACATACACACCTGCTAGGTATGTCATCTAAGCTTTCTCATGCTCAGTTTTTAGATCTATGAAATGAGAGAGCTGGGCTAGAACTGTAGAGCCATTCATTCCAGTCCAAATATCCCCAAACTCTCCAACCTGGTGAAACAAAAAGCCCTCTATTGGCAAGTTCTCCTGGGGTATGTAAGTAAATGAGACTTCACGAGGGCTTGTATAATTTACGTTTACTTTCCTCTAAGTACCAGGGACAAGCTAAGCACTTCACCAAATTTCCTCATTGTAAAGCACTTAATGGGAAAAAATTCTCACTTATCCATCTAAAAGAAAATCAATGTTAATAGTTTGCTAAGGACTCCTCTAGTCTTTGGGGGGTCTTACTGTTCTGTTGTGTAACCTCTCCTTTATCAGTTAACACAGCAAAAGCAATTACACAAATAGTAATTTAAAAAATCACTCTTAGTGGCTCTATCAGGTTCTGTCATTGGGATGATTTCACTGGGTTTCTTTTCGATTTTTTTTTTTTTTGAGACAGAGTCTCACTATGCTGTCCTCTGTAGAGTGCTGTAGTGTCACAGCTCACAGCAACCTCAGACTCTTGGGATTAAGCGATTCTCTTGCCTCAGCCTCCCGAGCAGCTGGGCTACTTTTTTTTTTTTGGTTACAGTTGTCATTGTTGTTTAGCAGGCCCAGGCCAGGCTCAAACCTGCCAGCTTTGGTGTATGTGGCCAGAGACCTATACACTGAGCTATGGGCGCTAAGCCTGGTTTTCAATTTTTTTAACCTATTCATTTTGAAGTAATTTCAGGTGTATAAAAAAGTTACAAAAATGGTATGAAGAATTTCCATATGCCCGTCTCCCACCTTTCCCACATGTTATTATCAAAACCATACTATAATTATCAAAACTGGAAAATGAACAGATTCAGTGTTATTAATTAAGCTACGAAGCTTCCTCAAACCTCTCACTTGGCCCATCATCTCTTGGCGGGTCCCCACCCCGGGCTGCAGGCTGCATTTGTAGCCACGTCTCCTTCAGTCGGGGGTAGTTCTTTAGTATCTGCCTTTTTAGTCTTAACCCTTTTCAAGAATGCTGGCCAGTTATTTTGTAGAGTATCCCTCAATTTGGATTTGTCTGCTAATTCCTTAAGATTAAATTCAGGACATGCATTTTTGGCAAGAAAACCCCAGAAGTGATGTGTCCTTCTCAGGGCACCGTATCAGGAGGCACCCGAGGACGATGCATTTTATTACTGGAGCACTGATCACCTGGGTGAGGTGGGAACAGCTGGGTATCCCCACTGCCAAGTTAACTGCTTTTCATTTTACATTTAAGAAGTATCTTGTGTGCAGATATTTGAGACTGTGTCTTCCAGTTCTCATTACACTTTCATCCATTCATTTAGGCATCCATGATAATTCATGCCTGAAAACAGTATTACTGTGGCATTTGCCAAAGAGTGATATTCCCTATTGCCATCATTTTTATGTTTATTTATTAGAATTCTACCATGAGGAAGGGCTTTTCCTTCTCCCCCATTTACTCATTTATTCAATAATTTATTTATATCAGTTTGGACTCATGGATATTTATTTTAGTCTGTAATGCAAAAATATCATTAGTCTCTCAAATACCACTCAGGCTTGATATACCCCTAATTCTGCATATCCAGACTGAGTAATTAATTAGCTCTTATCTGTTTTGTGCATTCACCTCAATTACTATTTCTGGCCTCACCATTTCCTCTCAATTAAGAATAATGAGGACTACATTTGTGTGATTGTGGGCTGGGGTTTGTGATCAACAGGCTGCCTAGGGAACCCAGGTTTAGCCCTTTTGGCTGGCACTAACAAAACATGTTTCATAACTAAAGATGATTTTTTTTTTTTTTTTGAGACACAGTCTCACTATGTCACCCTTGGTAGAGTGCCGTGACATCATAGCTCACAGGAACCTCCAACTCTTGGGTTTAAGCGATTCTCTTGCCTCAGCCTCCCAAGTATCTGGTAATACAGGTGCCCACCACAACACCTGGCTATTTTTTTTTTGTCATTGTTGTTTGGCAGCCCTGGTGCATGTGGCTGGTGCTCTAGATGGCACTGAGCCTAAAGACAAATTTTTTAAAATGAGATAATCGAATTGTCAAACTAATTGGGAGTTTTTTTTTCACATCTCTTCATGATAAACCACTGTTTTAAATATAAAGTTCAGCATTCCTGGTCAAAAGTAAACAATACAATGGAACTTAGGATAGAAGGTTGAGATTTAATTCTTTACACAAACACAGACTCAAGATAAAAGCATAAACGGACAGTCACAAAATCAAATCATTTTGAGATATTTACTGAGTGAATGATTTTGTGGGAGGTGCCATGCTAGGTACCAGAAAACATAAGACACAGTCCTTATGTCGGGCAAGAGCCAGTAATTACCCTTCACCATGTGCATGCTTAACAGTTCAGTCCTTGCAGCCACATGGAACTAAGGTCACTGCATATTTGTTTAACTTTTCTAAGCCTGTGTTTAAGTCTGGAATAACACCAAAACCTACAACTTGGTGGGCCAAAAAGCAGTTAAAGGTGCAAAAAGGCAACCCATGCACAGCACTGGGCTCCGTGTCCACCACCAGGAGTACCTTGCACATGACCCCGTTGTGCACCTAGGGCAATGACAGTAAGTGACCTCATTCTTCTACATTAGACACAGTCTTTAGATGCAATGTGCTTATGTAATAAATTAAAAGGAAATGAGAAAACAATGCTAAGTGAAAAAGGATTATTTCAGTCCTAACATTACTACTATAGCTGAGGATGATAGTTGCTTATGTGCTATGAACAATGACAGAAAAATACATTTTATACTCACTTGTATTTTTGACTGTACTCCTTGAAGGGACTGGACCACAGGGATGCAATAAGCAAGAGTTTTACCTTTTAGAGAAAGTGCAAAAATAGTTAAAATCACAGAACTTGCAGATATAAGAAAAGCAACGGGTGTAAAGGAAACAAACTCTAATCTTTGGATAGTACTAAATTCTGGGAAAAGGTAAACTGCATATTATACACCCAAGAAAGGTGAAAAGGGACTTCTGTCTGCCATAATTGCTAATTTTAATTTGTAAATTCAGTACTTCTAAAAACAGCTAAGCTTCAGTTCCTTTATCCATCTAACAAGAGAGATAATGATATGCTTTCCAAACTGTACAAAAGCTCCACTTGATTGGGAGCTAGAAAACCCCTTCTCTGAAGTGCACAGCCCTACCCTCTCAGATCTTCACTAGTCAATTAAATGCCGTCTGCAGCATGGACCTAACGAGAAGCCAGTCTGAACCCCAGGCGGATAGCAAGACCTGAGTCTCCAGCTGCCTGAATGGTGGGCAAGCTGGTGGGAGGACAGCTGACCTGCCACTGAGGGCACGTGAGGGTCTGAAGAACAAGTCCAGACTGGCCTAGAACATGGCAAAAACAGTGTTCTGTCCTCAAGCATGACAAGTGGCAGGCAATCAGCATGTGGTCAGGCCAGAATTCACCATGTTTGATACCAGGAGAAAAAGTTCATCCCCACTAGACGGGCAAGTTTGGCCACAGATACCAGGCTGTGGCAAAGCCCTAATAGAGGCTCTGGGGAAATGACAGGAGAACTCGATGACTACCAAATCATTCCTGATTGTGGCACCAGTAATTGTGTCCTTCCTTTCATTATGTAAACAAAGTCAGGGCTCTAATCAAAAGCAAGCATGGTTTCCATCCCCCAAACAAAACAAAACAGCCATCATCACAGACACAGGCATCTTACTACAAAACCTACTGCATGACCACAGGTCTGGATACCACAGGGAAAAGGGTGAAGGTTAAATGAGGACTGACCTGAGCCCGTCTGGGATCTCACAAGAGCATCTCTGCCTTCCAGCAATGCAGGAATAGTTTGCTTCTGAACACTGGAGCCACCCAAAAGAAGAACACAGCTTAGCTGTTTTACTGAGTTACCTTTATAGGCAGAAACACAGGATACCTAACCACGCAATTGCCCTAAACTTTCATTTGTCTAGCAACTGCCACCCTAAAAGCTACCTGAATATTCAAGTGAAAATACCAAGAAACTCCTGATGATTAGAAGGATAAAACCCTAATTATATTTCTGTTACTTAGCCGAAAATGGTGAGGCAAGTCGGAGACTGGCCATTCTATTAATTTTTGAAACACTGGACAGGCATAACAGCAAATTAAGTTGCCACAGAAGCATATCATATACTCTCTTGCCTTCTGTAACAGGACTATAAACACAGTGAAACATAATGGAAAGATTTCCATGCAGATTAGAAAAAACGTATGCAAACCACCCAGATAACCAGCATCAGCTGTCTGCTGTCCAAGAACAGGTTAGGGACACACCAAGATATGTGTCTACATGTGTCTTTAAAGTCAACCGAAAAAGGATATAGTATCATTTAAATTTGGTTCTTAAACAAAAAATGGTGGCGGGTAATTATTCTTCAGAATTCTCAATTTTTACTTATATATAAGAAGTGTCATTAGTAAGATGCACAGAAGCATACACTCTCAAAACAAGGCAGTTCACCTCCCCCCCACCTTTTACTTCTTTATGTCTGTTTTCCAGGAGTCATCACCATTACAAACATTTAAAATATTTTTTTCAGTATCCCATTATAGCCAACCAAACATTTACTCCTCTCCTTTTGGGTGGCCCTAATTCAGGCACGCAGACAACCACAGATCTCGTGCAGAACTCTTCCTGGACCAGCCACCTCATGCAACTGAGAGCTGGGGGCAAAAGTGGATGGAAACCCAGTTCCTGCATAGAACCGGCAGAGAAACTGAGGGGCTAAGGGACAGATAAGCCCTCTGCGGTCAGGAACCTAGCAGTGTGTTCCAACGCCACAGCAGGATTTGCTCTGCCCTCCATGGACAATTCTGATTTTATCTCGTTACACCCACTTAAGCCCTAAGAAAAATCAAGATTTCCTTGGAACTCTTACCGGGTCATACTAGACATTTTTAAGACAGTATTTATTGTGGATATCTAAAAGAGAACACAAAAAAATATTTTTAACAATTTTTTGATACCAATATATTTGATGAAAATGAACAGAAAAGGAGAGAACACAGAGATGCCACTGGTCTAACTAAATCCCTCCACCCAGTGGCTCTCTGCTGGGGATGATCCAGTGGCCCTTTCACCCCACAGGGACATGTGGCAATGTCTAGAGAAATTTTTGCTTGTTACAAATGGGGGAGAGGGTGCTAATGGCACCTGGCCCTGGGATGCCACACAACATCCTATAATGCACAGGACAGTATCCAAAACAAAGCGTTATTTAGCCCAAAATGTCTACAGCACCAAGGTTGAGAAATACTGCTCTAACCTGTGCGCAGGAAAACAAGCCTTGAGAAGGGGTGGCCACATGAGCAAAGGGAATCACGTCTGCCTGAAAGTTTCTTTCCCTGCTTACTCAGAAGCCTGGAAAATTCATTCACAGTTTAAAAATAAAAGTGCCCATTTGTTTGCACAAAATGCATTTTGAAGTAGGCACATCTTCCTTTAAAACTGTGGGATGCCACCACATAGCTCCCTCTCCTATGTCATTTTGTGACATCTGCCACCATGAATGGCTTTAATACCACATCTACCCAGTAATGATGAAGCTGTTCAGGCCAACAGAAGAAGTCCCAGTCCTAAACCACATTAGGTGAGGAAAGTCTTCAGTTCTTAAAAAAAAAAAAAAAAAGGAGGGGACGCGTGGGGGTGAGGAAACAGCGAACTGTAACCTAAGTATACCTGAATTTCCTAGAAGAGTTATCACATCAATGTGGGGTCATTCAGATAACTTGGAGCAAAAATAAACACACCCTCCAACTTCTCTTCCTAGAGCTGTCACTTCACAGACATTCTGAGTGAACAAACACACCAAAAACGTGGACCCATTCAACACTGAACACTTACCAAGTGGGGGTGGAGCCCCAGCTCATGGAAAGCAGCTGAAGTAAACACTTTTTCTTGTACCTGCTTTACTACAGGTCTGCAAATGATGAACAAAAACCCAGGCATCAGTTCCCATATTAACAAAGAAAGATGCAAAACAATTCCTTTCATTCCTGAAATGCATCTGCACCGGGACGTACCTGTGGAGTTCTGGAATTTCAGGGTTGTTTTTAAACAATGATGAAGTCTTAATGCACCGCTTCTCTTCCTGGTTTCTGTCATTTGTGCTAAGTGAATACTTCTTTGGAGAAAATGCTTTTTGTGTATTCCCTTTAAAAGTCCTCTGAGTTTCTTTAACACTAGTATTCTTGGCTGGGAAAAACGATGCTTTGTTCCTCCGTTTTGCTGGGGAAGCCTCACTGGACGCTTGGTATTTTCTTTTGGTAGCCTTTGCTTGCTGCGTTGTTCCCAAAAGGAAAGATCAACAAGAGATGCATCAGTCCATGAAGACAGACCTCAGAGTGAAGCCTGACTGCCCACAGAATTGCATCTCTCCCCGCAGAGATCATTATGCCCCATATGTCAAGCAACAGTTGAAGGTTTGCAATCAGATTCTTTGACTCAGCTTTTTCCAAAAGGAAAAAAAAAAAAGACAAAAATCTAAGCTTGTTCATCACTAGGCCTCACTATCCATCTTAACTATTAAATTAATCAAGATGAGGGTGAGGATCAAGAAGAGAGAAACGTTTTTTGAGCCGAATGTTAACCAACTGAGCCTGTTATGAGGGAAGCAAGAACCCACGTTATGAAGCGTGTGTGCTAAGTGAATCCATATCCCTAGGAATCCATTTACCCAAGAAGAAAAAGAGGGGTAGAGGGAAAATGCAATCTTTTCTCTCCACGAGCACAGCACGCTGGAGACGAAGCAGAGGAGAGAGAAGAGTGGGATGCCATGTCCCCGCTCATGCCCAGGAAGCAGAAACCCTCATTACCTTTCCACCCCAGTGCTTGGATCTCTGTCATCCTCTCCCCTCAAGCTGCTCCTCCAGATTCAGGCGGTCTGGAGACAATTTCTACTCACCGTTCCCATTCCAAATGAGACGCGCTGCCCCATCCATCACTTCTATCACAACTACTTCCAACCTCGTCTTTCGAATCCTCACCTGATCACCGATTACAGGGTACACACCACTAGCTATTCCCTGACTGTTGCTTATTTCCATAACATGAACATGGCTAAAATGTGTGATGTCCAAACTTCCCAGAGGGGAAGAAACATCCAGTTCCTCTATTTTCTTTGGCCTTCTCTTCTGATTTACAAATGAACATAGAGCACCCCTTGAGTAGCCAGTGCTTGTTATTTCGGAGTTTGGTTTCTGTTGAAGTATGTTATGTTCCTCTTTGTTTGAAATAATGACTTGGGTTTACACATTGGCTTTCTTTAGCCATGAATGTCAGCTTCAGACTAATCTACCAATAACAATAGTTCTTTGTTCCTGGCAACCAAAGGATTCCTTTATATAAGTAATTCAATAACTATAACTTCAAATATTTAATATTAACAAACCACTGGCCAACCTCATTTTACAAATTTATTTTCACAAAGTCCCAAGTTTATGACTTTTCAGATTAAAGAAAGAGATGAAGTCAAGTTTCACATCTGTTGATTCCTTTGGAAAGTCAGTAAGAAATTTGTAAATTTCATGTGCTTTATGGACCCACAGACTCCTGGAGCACAAAAACTCATAAAGGCCACTCCCACCAGGCATGGAATTCCTTTTGCAGTTTTCTTGGCAGGTAGCCCTGCAGCCTCTGCCTGTACACCTCCTGCATCCCACGAGGCAGCCCGTTCCGCTCCTGACCTATTCTAGGAATGAGGAGGCTGTTTATGACACTCACACGGTATCTGCCTCCTCGAGTGTCTACCTACAGGTCTGAGGATACTTTCTGCAGCAACCTGGATGGATGCACCACCCATTCATATACCATACAACTCCCTCTTCTTCGGACTGTATTCCACACAGGACACAGACACAGATCACTTGTTATCCCTGGTCACCCTTTATTCAAATGTCAAAATCTCTCTAAAAAGAAGTACTTAGAGTTAAGCACAATATTAGATAGGCTTTCATTGCTCTTAGGCTAAAATAAAAATCTGTAAAATAATCTATAAACCCACAGAATCTGGCCTCTGCTCATCTCACCAATCTCAGCTTTACCCTCTGCCACTGTGGTCTTCCTTAAATTCCTAGAATGTACCACATTCCTTCCCTCCTCTGGGCCTCTGCATGTGCTACTGCCACACTAGTACTCCAACCCTTCCTTTGGCAGGCTAACCCACACTCCATCCTCAGCTCGGCCTTCCTGACCTCCCTCCACCCATTTAAGCCAAGGCTCCCCGATCGTGGCTCTCCTGGCACCCCTGTTCACTGTAGCACTCAGCACAAGGAAAAGCACAGAATGTCATCGTTTGGCATTTGTCGTTCCCATTAGATTGTGAACACCACAAAGAAAGGGACGGGTCTGTCCAGCACAGCACTGAATTCCCTGCACGGCCTGTGTCTGGCACTGAGTGAAGCACTCAATAAATATCTGCAACATGAATTATCCCTTCCATGTTCTGGACACTATGCTACTACTTGTCAGCCTTTCCCCTAGCATCCATAGCACATTCATGCAGCAGTTACTACGTAGTTGAAAGATTAGCCAAACCCAAGAAGAAGTCACAGATCATGGGAGAGATAAAAGTGTAAAACTATAAATCCAAACCTCTATCTACTGTAGAAGAGGTGTGTACAAAGGATGACAATGGGAGCACAAAAAACCCACATATGTATATGTTTATATATATACATACATAGAAACTAACGTGGCCTATGGAAAGGGGGAGGGAACAGAGGAAATACGGCTTCATGAGGTGTTATTTGAGCAGAGGGAGCAAGGACAAATCCAGATCTATTAAAAATCAGCTGTGTAACATTAAGCAAGTGATTTCTTTCTGAGTCCTTATTCGCTCACCTGTGAAAGGAGTGGATTATGGCAAATGATCTATAGAGCCCACCTCAACCTAGGAGTCCAAGATGCCACACCTTTGATATTATAAATGTACTGAGGAGTCACTACATGGCAGGCAGAATGCTAAGTACTTACACAAATTATCTCACATATTAATACAAGTAGTGGTACCATCCCATTTTAAGATGAGGACACTGAGGCAGAGACGTGTTGTGCCAGGATCACTGAGGGAACCAGGTTTTGCAGGCATTATGAGTCTACCTTTCAGCTCCTGATGGTAAAGCTATGCCATTTATTAACTGTATCCTGTTTGGTCAGGAAACATCATGTGTAGCTTGATTCCCATTTTGAGTGGTTTTCTAGAAGAATACACACCAAAATATTAACAAGACTATGTTTCAGAACGGCAATTATGTGTGAGGTTCTTTTACCTTCTTTCCAATTTTGCTATAATAAATTAACATTAATTCAACAACCCAAAAACTTTTTTTTTGCAGTCTTTGGCCGGGGCCAGGTTTGAACCTACCACCTCTGTTATATGGGGCTGATGCCCTACTCCTTTGAGCCACAGGCGCCTCCCAACCAAAAAACATTTTTTAAAAGAAAATATTCTGCACAGTGTTAGATATAACATAATTTCAGCTGTCAAAGTCTTTCAAAATCCAGTATATTAGCTACCCATCCTGGCAACTGATCAGCATATCCATCATTCTCATTTATGACACCAACAAAAAAGCAGACAAGGCAGGCCACTGCAGACGCCTGTCACCAACTCATTAATTAATCCTGTAATTGCAAAAAAAGACACCCTACATTTACTCAATTCATTCAATCAGGTTTTATTAAATGCTGCCTGTGTGTTAGTTACTGGGCTCTGAACATGACATAAGCACCTCACGGACCTGATGTAGCACTCTAACCCGAGTGGAGCCAATACTAACTTTATTGTTTAGGCATTTCTTAACTGCCTTTATGGGCTGGATCGTTACCATTTAAAGAATAAGAAAAGTGAAGATCAGAGAGGTTAAATAACTTCCCCAAAGTCACAGGGCTAGTGTGTTGCAAGGCTGGCATCTAATCCCAGGTCTAGCCTACTTCACATCCCATGCTCCCAATGGCTCTTCTACAGGTATATTCCTCCTTCCGCACCTGTAGATGTAGTTTCACCATTGGTAGCTGAAGACTCCTTACTTTCAATTATTTAAATCTTAAAGCTTAACTGTCACCAAAAAACTCACCAAAGATAATCCAGGCAGTGCATGTTAGCTGGTATGAGCCAGCGGTTCTAAACCTGTGGGTCGCAACCCACATGAACTCTATTAAAGGGCCGCGGCATTAGGAGGGTGAGAACCACTGGGCTCAAAGAATTTCAGCTTCAATGTACTGGTTAGAGTGAACTGACTTTGGCAAGTGATTTTTCTATGGAATCTTGTGTTGCTTTTTCAGGGGAGGGAAAAAAAAACCTCAAACTTTCCTTGGCACTAGGCTGTATCCTTCCTGGGCCTCTGTGATCACTTATACCTTTACTACAGCTTTTTTGCCCAGCAGGTTTTCTTTTCTCTAGGAGACAAACAGTCCCAGAAACCAGTTTTCAGTTCTTAAGTTAATTTAAAGGCATCTTTCTCCTCTCTAGGAAAGGGATTATACTGATGAATGTCATTTTCTCTCCCTCCTCTGATAAACATGGAAGAAAATATACCCCACATTCGAAAGCTTTTCAAAGAAACGCCCAGGGACCAGCCCTCGACCCTGAGACAAACGACCCTTTCTTACAGTTGAAGACAATAGCTTATAGAAGTGAAGTCTTGACCTGGGACTCACTCCCGGAGCGTCAGTTCCTACCTTGCTTGGGAAGCAGCCTCCTATCCTTTACCTGCCATCCCCCCGCCCCGCCACACTCCCTCCTCTCGGTACAAGAAAGTCCCCGCGGGTGGTGTTCCGGGTAGAGGCACGTGTTTCTGAGCAATTTCTTCAGAAGTTGCTTGGTGTCTCATAGTGCTCCCCCAACTCCGTAAAGGATTCCCAACCCAACCCCAAAGCACTGCGGCGGCGCGCAGTGAGCCGGGCTGCGGGTGGGGACCGAGCTGAAGACGGGACTCAACTCACCTGCCCGGCCTGGGCACGGGGGCGTCCGGAGAACGTCCTGGGGGCGGCGGCCAGGTCAGGCAGCGAGCAGACGGCGGCTGCCATGGTCGGCCGGGGCGCGGGGAGTCGCAGGGGGCCCGGGGCGCCCACCCCGCGCGAAACGGGACGCCACGTGGGACGCGCGCGAGGACCCCGCGCAGCTGCCCGCCCCGCCTGGGTCCGGAAAGGTTCCGAACCACGCGAGCCCACCCCAGTGAGTGGCCGAGGCGGGGTGACAACCTCCCTGCGTCCCTTGAGGCTTGGCTCTGGGGATCCGAATCACACTCGGCCCGAGAGTTCACGCTTGGGAAGGTGTCTGAACGCCCCTGAGAAAGGAGAGGCAGTGCGCAGTCAAACCGAGGTCTTCTTTCTTTGCTGCCGCGGTGCTGTTGCAGCTCCTAGTCTGGGTAGGTCCCTAAAAGGGCGTGGGGCTCAGCCACCGGCAGAGGGTGGTGTCCCGGGGCTCCCTTCTCACCGGCTCGCAGCCAACTCGGCCTGCACGAGAGGTGCGTTTTCTAGTCAGGCAGCTCCTTGGCCACCTGGCAGGGCTGCGTCGCCTGGCAACGGCGGGGTCCTTCCTGGCTCGGTGGCGCTCGGGGCCTGAGGGGAGAAAACGGCCGCGGTGGGCGCTGGGGGTGGCAGCGGAAAGGCAACGCGGGCTTGGCGCGCCCTGGGACCAGATCTCTGCGCCCTAGAGGAAGATGAACACGGCCAACAAGGTCCGGGTCGGGCCTGCGGCCGATGGGCCTGCGCCGCCCGGGGAAGAGGAGGGCCAGGGGGGTGGTGAGGCAGGCGGGAAGGAGCCGGTGGCGGACGCGGCCCCGGGGCCCAGCGCCGCGTTCCGCCTCATGGTGACTCGGCGGGAGCCGGCCGTGAAGCTGCAGTACGCGGTGAGCGGCCTGGAGCCTCTGGCCTGGTCTGAGGACCACCGCGTGTCTGTGTCCACCGCCCGCAGCATCGCTGTGCTGGAGCTCATCTGCGATGTGCACAATCCAGGCCAGGACCTGGTTATCCACCGCACCTCGGTGCCCGCCCCTCTCAACAGCTGTTTACTTAAAGTAAGTCTTACCTCGGCCCCAGCCCGGGGATGTTCCCGCCCACCTCCTGCGGCCGCCTCACTCGTCCTAAAGGAATCCCGGCCTGGATACTTGATTTGGGGATTACCCTCGCCCCCAGCGCTTTGGGGTTATTGAGTGGCCTGGGTTGCCGAGCCTAAAAGAAAACCTTGCAGCTGTTTTGCGCCCGGTTCTCTGGATCACCTCGCGCCTTGAACGTACACACCCATGGGCATCCCCGGAGTCAGGTCCCGCCAACCCTTTTCTTTGCCTCTGTATGTGGCGGGCACCTAGAGCAGATTGCTCTCGGTGGTGCTTAGACTCCACCCACCCCCGACCTGCTTCTGTCGTTGCTCCTATTGTCTGGGGCCGACTTTCCGAGGCTCTTGGCTGGCTTTGTTTACTGTGTTGTGCCCTCCTCTGGGGCCTCGTTGCTTTGGAGTAGAAAAATTGGTCCTCTTCATTGTCTGCACTGTTTCAGCGACTTTATTATCAATGTCTATTGCGTCTCACCTGGGACTGATGGGTACTCCAGTTTTTTTACTAGCTAAACATCTTTGGGAGGTAGAATGAAAATAAAAACCTCTGGAAACATGCAGTTCTTAATCTTTGAGTCCAAGGTCTCTGTGAATTTAGCGCTTTCAGTTTTATATAACCTAAGTTTACCTCTAGAACTTTAGGATTCCTGAAGTTTTAGTGCTGTGATATCACGGTTTTCAAGTTTGGTTTTTTAAAGTAGTAAGCCATAGCATTCATTCTAGTTGCTTGTAAGTACAAAAACTTTCCATGTATCCTTTATGTATCTCTGTGCTTATGTGGTCTGTCAAAAGAGTATATTCATCCACTCAACAGATGTTTGAACATTGCTACATGCTAGGTGTTGGCCTAGGTTCTGCAAGTAAATCAGTGTATAAAACAAAGTCTTCTGTCATGAAGCTTACATTGTTTGGCAAGTGATGAACAAATGATAATGTAATATCAGATGGTGATAAACACTATGAAGATATTTGTATACAGAAAACATGTTTATGTGAAAGCAAAGTTTTTCTAAACTCGCTACATTATAGTCATTTTAAATATGAGTCAGCTGTAGGCAGGGTGCAGCTAGCGCACATCTCTGTTTAACTTATTTCGTTGAAGTTTGAAACAGACTTGATGTTGAATTGGGTCATTGGTAAATTTTTATGACTAAGCCCTCTGAGGTCATCTTGAAGAGGATATGAACAGAATTGTTTAAATATAAACCAATCCTGTGAAATTGAGGTATGTAGAAGGAGGAAGACAGACGAAAGGTGTTTTAAAAGGCGCATCCTCTGCTGAAAAGGAACTGAACTATTTGCAAGAAGTTCATAGGCATATCAACTAGGAAAAAGTGTGTATGTCTGTAAGGGAGAGACTGAGTAGCGAGGATGTAAAGAAAGGGGGAATAGTGAGGGAAGGTAATTTTACCAAGCAGGATAATCTGGTAGTGAATCCCCAGCAGTCCTAAAAGAAGGTAGTGTTTGTAAGAGGGAGGAAAGAAAGGGCATACCAGGTGGCAGGAATGAGGCATCCATCTAATGTGTACATATCTAAGACATGAACATGATTTACTATTTGTGTAGTAGTGGATCAATAGATGACTCACGTAGCTCATTTAGGGAGTCAGAGAAAAGTAAAGTGAGGCTAATTTGGGAACTTTGAAGGTCAGTCTGAGGAAGTTGGGTTTGATTTAGGAAGCCCCAAGGTGGTGTTAGAGTCCTGAGCATAGAGCAATGTTTTCCAACCTTTTTATCTCACAGCACACTGGAACCTCTAGTTAAACTTCTGCATCACACTTAAATTTATGTTGATCCCAGAAAAAGTAAAAGAAGGAATGCTTACTGTGCTTTGAACTTCCTTCGAACATAATTAATGACCTTTAAATTTTTTCTCAAAAAGAAACAAACAAAAAAAAAGAGTTCTTCTTGCAGTCAGTTGAACCAAGGGTTGCTTGAGCTTCCTTTATTTCATCCTGTGCCGCTGCTTTGGGTAACCAGCCCTGTAAGTTGACTTCTGGATCTGCAGTAGCTTTTATTTGCAGTAAATCCTATTCTAAGGATTGTTGCTTAGTTTATTGTATTAAAGGATTTGGTGGAAAATTTTATATGTACCCTTCATTTAGTGGACAACTTTATGTCTACCTTGCATTTTATATACTTTTATTAGGTCTCATTGACATTTACTTATCAGAATTTTTCTTTAATTTCAAAATGTTAAGGGAGATACAAATGTTTTAGTTTACATGAATCATTTTTGTGATGCTTGAGACCTGGTCCTAGGTGTGCCTGTCACCCCAATAGTACCTGTTAGGTTGGTTTACTTCCCACCTCCCTCTGCTCCCCTCCCACGTTTGCTTCCCACTGAGTTAGCCTTCCCTCCATGCACCTGTGTGCTCATTGGTTAGTTCCAGTTTAATAGAGAGTACCTGTGGTGTTTGTTTTTTCCATAGTTGCAATTTTTTTTTTTTTAGGGGAATAGTTTCCTGTTTCATCCAAATTGTTGCAAAAGGTATTCATTTCTTTTAATGGCTGAGTAGATAGAACAATAATAATAATGTTCATCATAGCTAACATTTATTGAGCACTTAATGTAAGCTTTACATATAATTTATTTAACTTTTCTAACTCTATGGGACATGTATTGTTTTGTTTTATAAATGAGGAAATTAAGGCCAGAAGGTTTAAGCAACTTGTATTGTCACAGAGCCAGCACTTGAACCCAGGTAGTCTGGCATCATAGCCGATTTTCAGTTATTATGCTTTATTTCATTATGTTGTATTTCAGACTATCCATAGAAAGCTCTGAATTTTGGTTGGCATTATTTTATTTCCAAGTTAGCAAACTCTACCTCATTTAATTGGAATTTCCAGTCTGTGTTTCTCTAGCAGGTCCATAGTATATCCAAGAGACTTTTTTTTTTTTTTAATAGACACAGGGGTCTCACTCTGTCACCCAGGCTGGCATGCAGTGGCATAATCACAGCTCACTGAGGCTTCACAATCTTGGACTCAAGTGATCCTTCAGCCTCCAGAGTAACTGAAACTAGCCACTGCACCCAGCCTATCCAAGAGAGTATCTTAAGTGCCCATCTAAAGTCAAGATACACTGCCTAAAACACCATTCCTCAGTGTGTTCTTTAGTGCAGTAAAGGGCAACAACTCTCTAAAAACGTCTGTTGTTTAAAAAAAACGGATTTTTGGCTAACTGGTTAAATAAGTCTCTCAGTTTCCTGGCCAAGGCACTTAGTGTAGCCTTGTGACCTTGCAAGAGAGAATAACATGTATATAGTATTTCTCAAACTTATTTGGTCATGTAACTCTTTTTCAGGGGACAATTTAAGGGACTAGTGCTTTATGAGACACACTTGAGGAAATGTTGTAGACAACTTTGTGTCTACCTTTCATTTTATGTGCTTATTATGTCATCTAGCAGTTTTAAGAAAAAAGAGAGGTTAGATTATTCCAGTTATCTTTGATTAGTTTCTAATGATTATTGTTAGAAAGTAACAGTATGGGGCCTGCGCCCTACTCCTTTGAGCCACAGGCACCGCCCAGAAACATTCATTTGTTAATAAACTGAGGAATTGTATTTCCTGTTAGGGTTAATGGTCTGTAGTTTTTGCTTTCTATTTACAATTTGGGGGATATTTTAAAACTATTTATTGCATTCTAACTTTCTAACTAATCCCGTTGTCCAAGTTTTATCTAGGATGTAGTTAGTGGTTTTAAGTTAATAACTTCCAAGTTTTTTCAGTGTCCTGGAGTATAATTACTCTGATCTTAGAAACTTAAACTCATTTAAAATAGCTTTCTTTTTTTATATCTACGTATGTCTTAGGCTTGAATTCCCTTTTAATCACATTCTACCCTTTTCAGTTTGAAGAGCAGCCTTTATGAAAAAAAGTAAATCAACACTAAGAAAGAATTGAGAGAGTCTGCTTTCTGTTTCTGTTATCTGTTTCTCCAGAGTCTGTGGGTCAAGTCCTTACTGCTTCCAACATGACAGAAATCATCTTTTGGTTGACCTCTGCTCTTTTTTGGCTTTAGCCTTCCTGGCTATTTTTTATGGCCCTGGACTCCTTTCTTTTGGTCATTTAGCTCTTCCTCCATCTTTAATGTTCCATTAAGATTGTTTTGAAGAGCTTACCATCAAGCTGAGGTGAGAGTTGGATAGGAAGAAGGATTATACAAGGAAACCAGAGAAAGCAGAAGTGGGAATGTTCAGGACCCGCAAATACAGTAGTCAAATCAGAGTGGACTTTCTTCTGTAGAAACAGACAAAGCCATTGGAGTTGGCTCTCAGCATAATTTGAAGGAAATTTACTCAGCCTGAGCAAAAGCAAGACCCCGTCTCTAAAAACAGCTGGGCATTGTGGTGGGCGCCTGTAGTCCTAGTTACTCAGGAGGCTGAGGCAAGAGAATCGCTTGAGCCAAAGAGTTTGAGGTTGCTGTGAGCTATGATACCATGACACTCTACCAAGGGTGACAAAGTAAGACTCTCAAAAAAAAAAAAAAAGAATTGCTATCTCCTTGACTTTACTTTCTTTTGCAGTTTTTTGGCTGGGGCTGGTTTTGAACTCGCCACCTCTGGCATATGGGGCTGACGCCCTCCTTAACTTTTCTTTCTTTTTTTTTTTTTTTGAGACAGAGCCTCAAGCTGTCCCCCTGGGCAGAGTGCCATGGCATTACAGCTCACAGCAACCTCCAACTCCTGGGCTCAAGCAAGTCTTCTGCCTCCGCCTCCCAAGTAGCTGGGACCACAGGCGCCTGCCACAACGCCCGGCTATTTTTTGGTTGCAGCCGTCATTGTTGTTTGGCGGGTCCGGGCTGGGGATTCAAACCCGCCACCTTAGGTGTACGTGGCTGGCGCCTTAGCCGGTTAAGCTATAGGTGCCGAGCCACCTTAACTTTTCTTTAGGCATGTACTTGAGCTTTTAAATGGGTGTCATGTCAGAATTAAGAGTCTATACAAAATTATTGTATCAATGTGACCACTTAATACAGATAAATATTTATCTGATAGTTTTTATACTTCTTATTTTCAGGTTGGCTCAAAAACAGAAGTTGCTGAGTGCAAGGAGAAATTTGCTGCCTCTAAGGACCCCACAATAAGTCAGACTTTCATGTTGGATAGAGTGTTCAACCCTGAGGGAAAGGCCTTGCCGTCATTGAAGGGATTCAAATATGCTAGCTGGTCCCCCATGGGTTGTGATGCTAATGGCAGGTGCCTCTTAGCAGCACTGACTATGGACAATCGCTTGACCATCCAGGCCAACCTCAACAGACTGCAGTGGGTCCAGCTGGTTGATCTGACTGAGATTTATGGAGAACGTCTTTATGAGACCAGTTACAGGCTCTCTAAAAATGCAGCCCCAGGAGGAAATCTTGGGGATTTTGCTGAGTTTCAGAGGAGACACAGCATGCAGACCCCAGTCAGAATGGAGTGGTCGGGCATCTGTACTACCCAGCAGGTGAAGCATAACAATGAATGTCGGGATGTTGGCAGTGTGCTTCTGGCCGTCCTCTTTGAAAATGGTAATATTGCTGTGTGGCAGTTTCAGCTGCCCTTTATAGGAAAGGAATCCATCTCTTCATGCAACACAATTGAGTCCGGCATCAACTCTCCTAGTGTTTTGTTTTGGTGGGAATATGAGCACAATAATAGGAAAATGAGTGGCCTTATTGTGGGGAGCGCTTTTGGACCTGTAAAAATTCTTCCTGTCAATCTCAAAGCAGTCAAAGGCTATTTCACTCTAAGGCAGCCTGTTGTCTTGTGGAAAGAAATGGACCAGTTGCCTGTGCACAGCATCAAGTGTGTGCCACTTTATCATCCTTACCAGAAGTGTAGTTGCAGCCTAGTGGTGGCTGCAAGAGGCGCCTATGTATTTTGGTGTCTTCTTCTGATTTCCAAAGCAGGGCTCAATGTGCACAATTCCCATGTCACCGGCCTTCACTCCCTGCCAATCGTTTCCATGACTGCAGACAAACAGAATGGAACAGTCTATACTTGTTCCAGTGATGGCAAAGTGAGGCAGTTGATTCCCATTTTCACAGATGTTGCATTGAAGTTTGAACACCAGTTGATTAAACTCGCGGATGTGTTTGGCTCTGTGAGGACTCATGGGATAGCAGTGAGCCCCTGTGGTGCGTATCTGGCCATCATCACCACTGAGGGCATGGTCAACGGCCTGCATCCCGTGAACAAAAACTACCAGGTCCAGTTTGTTACTCTCAAAACCTTTGAAGAGGCAGCTGCTCAGCTCCTGGAATCATCAGTTCAGAATCTTTTTAAGCAGGTAGATTTAATAGACCTAGTACGCTGGAAGATTTTAAAAGATAAACATATTCCTCAGTTTTTACAAGAAGCTCTGGAAAAGAAGATTGAAAGCAGTGGGGTCACTTATTTTTGGCGTTTTAAGCTTTTCCTCCTGAGGATTTTATATCAATCAATGCAGAAAACCCCTTCAGAAGCCTTATGGAAACCTGCCAATGAGGACTCAAAAATCTTACTCATTGACTCCCCTGGGATGGGCAACGCTGAGGATGAGCAGCAAGAAGAAGGCAGTTCTTCCAAACAGGTTACTAAGCCAGGCCTGCAGGAGAGGAGCAAGGACGGTGAGGCTGAGGAGCCCACTGATGACTCGCTCCCCCAGACTGCAGACGTCGGAGGCCGTGAGCCAATGGAGGAGAAGCTTCTAGAAATCCAAGGGAAAATTGAAGCTGTGGAGATGCACTTGACCAGGGAACACATGAAGCGTGTGTTGGGGGAAGTGTATCTGCACACCTGGATCACAGAAAACACGAGCATCCCGACCAGAGGCCTCTGTAACTTTCTAATGTCTGATGAAGACTATGATGACAGAACAGCACGGGTAGGTGTTTATTAACAGAAACTCTGAAACTGAAAAGTCTGCTTGCTTCATGAGAAGGAGATGACCTAGGTGGAATTCCTAAAGCTCAACTTTTACTTTGACCTTTTTTAGGTAATTGGTGTGGTACAGGGGAATAATTCAGAGGACACGTTCATAGCATATGAAGAGTATTTAGTTCTTCCTCACCCTGTGGCTTTGATTGATATGCAAGGTTTGCCAGATGAGATTTGGCTGTGGATTAGCTGGAGGAGGCCACATTTAGCAGAGCGGTATGTGATGGGGAGTCACAGCAGGGGAACAGCACATGCTACCCATGTTCCCTACCTTTCCTATTTATAAAATATTTTCCATTTAGAAGGACTTAAGAAGATTTTCTGGTTTAGTCATGAGGGCATATAAAGAAATTATTACTCATGTCTCATTTTTACCAAAACTGGGTAGAATCTTTATTTTAGTGTTAGAATGGTGTTACAGTATTGTCTAAGATGCACTCCATAGAATTTAATTTCCTAACAGATCTCGGGGGTTCAGTGCTTGGTGCAGTGTACACTGTGCCTCTGAAAGGACCCCAAGGGACATTTTCATGCTAGGGGTTCTGAGAATTCATAACCATAACCTTGTGCAGCTCATACTTCTTGATCAGGGAAGTTTTCTTGCAACTAACAGCTGTTAGAATCCTGAAGAACTTGTGTTCCAAAGAAAATACTGTATACCAAAATAGTCAAAACCAGAAAAGTCTGTGTGCCTTCTTACTGTGGAGATTGATATTTATTCTCATTGCTTAAAGTCTTACTTAAAATATTAATAGAAGGCAGTAAATTCAAATATCTTCATTCCTAGTATTGCATTTTCTTACTAGATAGGGAGTGTGTTTATTGCTCATAGGATGTTTATAGTGATTGTAAGAGTGGTTGAAAGGTACTGTTTGTGGCTCAGCACCTGTAGCTCAAGCGGCTAGCATGACAGCCATATACACCGGAGGTGGGTTCAAATCCAGCCCGGGCCCGTCAAACCATGACAACTACAACCGAAAAATAGCCAGGTGTTGTGGAAGGTGCCTATAGTCCCAGCTACTTGGGAGGCTGAGACAAGAGAATCACTTGAGCCCAAGAGTTTGAGGTTGCTGTGAGCTGTGACACCACGGCACTCTACCCAGGGCAACAGCTTGATACTCCGTCTCTAAAAAATAAAAAAAATTTTTTTTAAATTGGAAAAGTATATGGTTATCACTGTGTGCCTACGACCTAGTTAGGGTCATTAGAAGAGCAGATGAAAAATTAGTAAGAATGTTTTGGAAAATAAGTAATGGGAGTTGGTTCATAATGGTTTTGCTCAGATGCCAATTAAATATGCCATATGGTTATATGGTTCTAAGACAGCCAGTTTTAAAAAAAGATGATGGTACCCTGCCCATCTATAGCAACTGAGTTTTGATTGAAGACTATGCATTTCATGTCTTAATAATTCATCTATATTCATAAAGACCTTTTAAACCCTAGGATATTGATTTACTTGTAGTTATAAATTACTTCCAAGATTCTCAGCCTCTCAACCTTATTTTCCTTATCACCTCCCCCTGGAGCATTTTTAGACATCTTTTCGAATTGCCCCTGCCCGTGGAGTTTTAATACCACATGTACAGTTTCCTATCTGTTTATGAACTGTTATGTGTATTCGTGCTTTATACGTAAAAAGAGTAGGAATTTTTTTTTGTCCTCCAAGAACCAATATTTGCTCCAGTGGGAGGACTGTCATTTCCATTAAGAATGCATGAGTCAGACTCACAGTTGGATTTGCATGATCGAGGCTATTGAGAGCAAATGGGAGCAAATTTAGGTACATCTGCTGCAGGAATTTTGAATAGCTTTTGTCTCTGTACTCCTATCCAGGACTGTCCGGAAAGGAATAAGGATAGTTACCCTTGCTGTAAGGGACTAGAAATTAGAAGTCTTTAAGCCAAAAAGGCCAAAATTTAATGTGACTTAAATTTATAGATTATACACAGAAGGGGTAAGGTAGCTGGCTCACCAACTTCTGAGCCATTAAGACACCCTTTGAGGCTTGGCACCCGTAGCTCAGTGGTTAGGTCACTAGCCACATACACCGGGGCTGGCGGGTTCGAACCCAACCTGGGCCTGCTAAACAACAATGACAATTACAACCCAAAAAATAGCCAGGTGTTGTGGTGGGCACCTGTAGTCCCAGCTACTTGGGAGGCTGAGGCAAGAGAATCGCTTGAGCCTAAGAGTTTGAGGTTGCTATGAGCTGTGACGCCACAGCGCTCTACTGAGGGCAACAGAGTGAGACTCTGTCTCAAGAAAAAGATACCCTTTTGAAACTTAAGTGAACTAATTTTAGTGAATTAATTCCAAAATCTTGTGGATTATTCTATAAGAGATTAAGCAGGAATGGATCCAAACTTTGAAGGACACTCTGCTGGTAAAAGATGGTTCCTGAGAGTTGGTGTATCCCCTTCCTCCCAAGGACACATCTATCTGAGGAAGTTGTTTCCCAATAAAATAATGCATGGTTTTTAGACTTTTATTTTTAAAGAGAATAATTTTAATAAAGCAGAGTGAACCAAAACTGAAGCAGGGGCAAGGCCCTGGAGTCTGTGCTGTCCTCTCACTGCCACCTTCCCGCTCCCACGGTGGGCCTTGCATGCCTCTGCAGGACGGACGGACAGTCTCAGATCACAGGCCACTGGACCAGCAGAAAGGGAAATTATTTTTTAATTGTAATTATACTTTTACTTTGTAAGCCTTTCTTTAAAAAAAGCCATTTGTACTGTTCTACAACATTAGCAGTATTTTACATAATGTTGTGCCTATAGAGATTGTGCTTTTCTTTCTTTCTTTCTTTTTTTTTTTTTTTTAGACAGAGCCTCAAGCTGTCCCCTGGGTAGAGTGCCATGGCATCAGAGCTCACAGCAACCTCCAACTCCTGGGCTCAAGCGAGTCTCCTGCCTCCGCCTCCCAAGTAGCTGGGACCACAGGCGCCCGCCACAACGCCCGGCTATTTTTTGGTTGCAGCCGTCATTGTTGTTTGGCGGGTCCGGGCTGGGGATTCAAACCCGCCACCTTAGGTGTACGTGGCTGGCGCCTTAGCTGGTTGAGCTATAGGCGCCGAGCCATGCTTTTCCTTCTTAATGTAAGAACATGCTAAATACTTTGTCTTCTAACAGAACTGGGAAGGAAGTCTTTGTTTCAGAAGCAGCTGAAACATGGCAAGTAATAACATTTTGGTTTTCAGACAGTTTTCCCTTAGTGGTGGTAGTTCACCCTAGTGTCAAAGGCCCCAGCTGAGTTTGTTTTTTTCAGCAAGTTGGCACAGGGTGGGGGACTGCTCTGTTGTAGGGTACTGCATAATTTTTTCACTTTTCCCTTGTGTTAGTAGGCTTTTTCTTCAGGAAATCCTTCATTCCGCACTGAACTTTGCGGATTGCTTTGTCTTACTAGGTGCTGATTGGACATATCTCAAAGAAGATGAACAAACAGACCTTCCCTGAGCACTGTAGTTTGTGTAAAGAGATCTTGCCATTCACAGATCGCAAACAGGCTGTCTGCTCCAACGGCCACATTTGGCTCCGGTAAGCCAGTAAAAGCTCTTCCTGTTGCTTGTTTTTCAGTTTTATGTAGCATTTACCATCATAAAGTGTGCCATCCCCGCAGTTATGTGGGAGAAAAGCTGCTAGTCTAAAGTCTGACGTGGATTTTTTAAGGTACTATGACTAAAGCAAGGTGGCCTTTAACGACAGTTTTTTACTACCTAATTCCTTATTTATTTTGGTAATACACTTTACCTTCGAAATAAGGCTAAGTTTTTTAAAAGTACTATTACAAAGTAATACCTGTTAAACTTAATGAGGCCACATGTGTGTTCGTGTTTGTTTTGTTCAAGTTTATAATACAATGGAGACATTTCCTCCTCCCCACAGTCTCACCCTGATGCCTCCATTTTACTTTCCCTCTGAGCTGCCTTTGATGCGCTCACTCCCTCTTCCCTGAGCACTGGCATCACCCGCTTTCCCTGGTTTTCTTCTTGCCTTTGACTCTTCATGCACAGTTGCTTTGCTGATTCCACTCACATTTATGGTATCTGTCTTGGGACCTAATGTTCTTTCCACTGTCCCCCTGGGTGCTTGTGTATCATCTGTGGGTTGACAGCATAAACACAGAGCTTTGGCCCTGAGTGCAGACTTAAGTGTCTGCCTGCCTGCTCAGGATTTATTTCTATTTGAATGTTTAATGGGCATTTCAAGTGGGAATCCAACCTTTCTCACTACCTCTTCCTCTGCAGCCCTGGTCCAAGACACCATCATGTCTTGCCCAAATTGTAACACCTGTAGTTACCTTCTGACTGGTAACTTCTGCTTCCAGTCTGTTCTCAATATGGTGATGATCGTGATTCTGTTAAGACCTTTGCTCAGAATTCTCTAATAGATGCCCATTTCTGATGAGGAAAAGCTAAAATCCTTTCAATGAGCTATCAGACTAGACAGCCTGGCTCCCTTCTCCTCAGGCATTCTGACCTTGTTGTTCCTCAGATACACGAGGCACCTGTCCCATCTCATGATGCCTCACTGGCCAGTCTGTCTCCCTAGAGACCATGTGCTTGTCGCAAATGTCACTTTACCTCTTAGACTTCGTCATACCCTGCTGATGTCCCTCTCCCTCCATGATGCTTTGGGTCCCTGCTGCTTGCTTTGTTTTCCTCCCTGGTGGTTATCACTATCTGATATATATTAGACTTTTTCTGTTCTTCCTCTGGAGAAAACTCCATAATGACAGGAACTTTTTTTTTTAATAAGAGACCGAGGTCATTTATCATAGAGTGCCATGGTGTCACAGCTCACAGCAACCTCCAGCTCGTGGGCTTAGATGATTCTCTTGCCTCAGCCTCCTGAGTAGCTGGGACTATAGGCATCTGCCACAACGCCACAACTACCACATCTGCCACAGCGCCCGGCTATTTTTTTGTTGTAGTTTGGCCACATTTGAATCTACCACCCTCCGTATATGGGGCCGGCGCCCTCCTCACTGAACCACAGGCGCTGCCCAAAGACAGGAACTTTTCTTTTGTTCACAGCTATTTCTAGAACAGTGGCTGGCACTCAGTAAAAATTTTGTATTTATTTTTGTGGTGCCTGTAGCTCTGTGGGTGGGGCGCTGGCCACATGCACTGGGGCTGGTGGGTTCAAACCCAGCCCAGGCCTGCTCAACAACAACAACAAAATAGCTGGACATTGCAGTGGGCGCCTGTAGTTTCAGCTACTCGAGAGGCTGAGGCAAGAGTTGCTTGAGCCCAAGAGTTTGAGGTTGCTGTGAGCTATGACGACACGGCACTCTACCGAGGCTGACAAAGTGAGACGCTGTCTCAATTTTTTAAAAAAATTATATTTATTTTTAACAGAAACAGGATTGTGCTACATATACCATCTTTTTTTTTTTTTGGAGACAGAGCCTCAAGCTGTCCCCCTGGCATGTGGCTGGGTAGAGTACCGTTGCATCACAGCTCACAGCAACTCCTGGGCTCAAGCGAGTCTCCTGCCTCAGCCTCCCAAGTAGCTGGGACCACAGGCGCCCACCACAACACCCAGCTATTTTTTGGTTGCAACCGTCATTGTTGTTTAGTAGGCCTGGGCTGGATTTGAACCCACCACCTTAGGTGTATGTGGCTGGCACCTTAGCCACTTGAGCCACAGGTGCCGAGCCACATATACCATCTTAACTTGCCCGTTCTCTTATCAGAATGTCATGGACATTTTTCTGCATCAGTACAGAGACCTTTCTTAACAGCTATAGAGTTTTCCATAAAATGGATGGGTCATTGATTGATGATTATTTGGGTTTTTTCCAATTTTTATTGCTTTCCTACAGTTTCTCTTTTTTCTGTTTTCTTTTGAGATAGGAGACTTGCTAGGTTGCCCAGTCAGGACTTGATCTCCTAGGCTTAAGTGATCCTCCTGCATCAGCCCCCCTAGTAACTGGGACTACAGGTGTGCACCATTGTGCCTGGGTCCTACACTTTTTCTAATTTGACTGTTCAGGCCTTTTAAAAGGGGAAGAACAAGAAACTACACACTAGTGTCTCCCAGATGAGTTTTTTCAGAACAGTCATTTTCATTTTTGCTGATTACAGTTAGTGGCAAAATACCTCTATGTAGTTTCTCACTGATGATGGGTGCTTGCTGCCATGACGGGTAGTCTCTTCCTGATACCTGAGTATGCTCTCAGAGGGAATCTTCTCAGTGTCTCTTCCCCTGACCACCTTCTTTGTATTTCTACTCCTTTGTTGCCCAACTTGAAGCTCTTATCTTCTGGAAAAACTTCCCTACAGAGCCCAGATGCCCTTTTTCCCATCTTGTTAACATTCCACCTATGCTTATTTGCCTGGTCCTGGTAGATACTCAATCATTTGATGGAATTGAATCTGTGAATATTTGCACACTCAATTTTTTTTTTTTTTTGGAGACAGAGTCTCATTTTGTCACCCTCAGTAGAGTGCTGTGGCATCATAGCTCACAACAACCTCAAACTCTTGGGCTCAAACAGTTCTCTTGCCTCAGCCTCCCAAGTAGCTGGGACTATAGGAGCCTGCCACAATGCCCAGCTACTTTTAGAGACAAGGTCTTGTTCTAGCTCAGGCTGATCTCAAACCTGTGAGCTCAGGCAGTCCACCCACCTCAGCCCCCTAGAGTGCTAGGATTTGCACTCTTAATTTTGTCTTTGATATCTATCAGGTTTTTTCCCAACGTACTGTCAGATTCTAAAAGATAGTGCTTATACCTAATCTTAAAATAACTAGCAAGAACAATTTTTAGTATAAATGAAGAATTCAATGTTCAGTCTAGGTATGGACAGACTAAATTCTTTCCCAGGCCTGCAGTCACACAAACAATGTAACACAGTCTGAACTGTGAAACTAGTTTGTCTGGATGGGATGCTTTGTATCTTCCCTTAGTAACATGACACAGCCTCCTTCCCTTTCCTAAGTTTGGGTGCGTGGGTTTAACCAGCTTTGGTGTGCAGAGGGATTCATTGTTACCATGAATCTGGGAAGTATCATGCTCTCACTTGGTTAGTATGTGGTTTGGAATAACTCTGGTGGAATTATACAGGCTGCTTTCCCACTACTGGTGGAACTGGACAAGCCCTTGCTCTTGACAATGCAATCTGTCTTCTTTCAGGTGCTTTTTAACCTATCAGTCCTGCCAGAGTTTGATATACAGAAGATGTTTGCTCCATGACAGCATTGCCCGGCATCCAGCTCCCGAAGGTGAGTGCTGTCCCTGCCTTGGGAGGGTGGATGGAGCACGCTGGCACAGTGCCAGCCTCCGGGCATAATTGCTGGGTCACACTCCACACTGCTTAGTGTTGTGCCATCAGGGATACTGAGGGGAGCACGCCCATGCTGTTCTTTACATTGTTATCATGAAGCCACAACTAATTAAAACATGGTAATTGAAATATGTCACAGTGAAGAACATACTGCATTTTAGTACGTGGATTAAGTGGGTCTGCAGTTGCTGCTATCTCACTGCAACCAAATTATTCATTCAAAAAAAATGTCAAAACCTGTTTTAAATGGCACACTTAAGTTATATTTGAGTAAAAATCCTGTGGATGATAATTATATATGCAAAGGCCACATCACTGAACCAGTAATAGAATATTCATTCTAAGTCATTCTTTAGTATCCATGATGGGTTTTATCTCAATCAATATTCTTTTTCCTGGTAGCCTGTTTCTGAGATAACTAGCTAGAATAACATCATAAACGTGATCAAGGAAGTTGCAATTTTAATAGCCATGCAAATATCTGATTTTTTCCCATATTTAAAAACATCACACTGTAAACAAATGAGCTAACTAGACAGAAGTGTATATAATTACTTACCTGTTTGAGAGAGGATTTGTGGTCTCAACTGAAAGAGAAACATTCTATATAAAACTACATCTTTTTGATTTTTGCTCTAAACTGAAGTAATTCTCAGAACTATGTTGGTAGTTTATGTTCCATTTTGTCTTTTTATTGTGGGAATTATAATCATACACAAAAGAGAGATCTCAGTGGGGTGTAATGGCTCACACCTCTAAAATCTAGCACTTTGGGAGGCCGAAGTGGGAAGACCGATTGAGTCTAGGAGTTCCAAACCAGTCTGAGCAAGAGTGAGATCCATCTCTATACAAAATACAAAAATTAGCCAGGTGTGGCGGTGGGTATCTATAGTCCCATCTACTCAGGAGGCTGAGGCAGGAGGCTTGCTTGAGCCCAGGAGGTTGCTGTGAGCCATGATGAGGCCACTGTACTTTTAGTCTGAGTGACAAGAGCAAGACCCTGTCTCAAACAAAAGAGTGTAGAGAGAAATATAATAAACCCCTGTGTATGAACCTGTCACTCACATTCTAAAATAACCCATTCATGGCCCTTTCTGTTTAATCTCTACTCCCCCACCCACCTCCCCCTTCCTATTAGATTTTTTTTTTTTGGAGACAGAGTTTCAATCTGTTGCCCTCGGTAGAGTGCTGTGTCATCATGGCTCATAGCAGCCTCATACTCTTGGGCTCCAGTGATCCTCTTGCCTCAGCCTCCCGAGTAGCTGGGACTACCGGCGCCTGCCACAACACCTGGCTATTTTTAGAGACGAGGTCTTGCTCTGGCTCAGGCTGGTCTCAAACCTGTGAGCTCAGACAATCCACCCACCTCAGCCTCCCAAGTGCTGAGATTACAGGTGTGAGCCACCTTGCCCAACCCTATTAGATTGTTTTGAAACACATTTGGGGGAACTTTTAAACATTCACTACAGTTGAGAATTGATAAACCACTCAGGCAGGAAATCTGGAGAAGAGGGAAACTCAGAAACAAAAACCTACCCCTCATCCCATCGTCTTCCTGCCTGTCCTGGAGGTCAAGGTTGATAGCACGTGTCTTCTCTTTGCAGATCCTGACTGGATTAAGAGGCTACTGCAGAGCCCCTGCCCTTTCTGTGATTCCCCTGTCTTCTGAATGTCAGTGGTGGGAAGAGGAAGGGCATGAACCCTGCTGTAGCAAACACGCTCCAGCCTGAAGAGAGCATGTGCTGGAGGAAGGCTGGCCCCTGCAAGTGGAACAGCACCTTTGTGATTGTAAAGAACTCATTTCTGAAGGGCACTCTCTATGTCTAGGCACTAAAGGATGTCTCTTAAAAATGACTGAATGCGGAGATTTTGAGTCATTTTGAGATGAACGTTACCCTGACCCCTTACCCAATGAGGAACACTTATTCAAGTGTCTTGACTGAAGCAGTGTGAACAAAAAGAATGTCCTGTCATTTCCAGGAACAGAGTGGTCTCTTCTAGAGAGTTTAGATAAGGGCCCAGCTGGGCTGAGTTGGTTTTTTTAATCCTTGGTTTGGTCTGGAACTGCTTTGTGGCTCTAGAGAGCTTAAACTACCTGGTACGTGGCTTTCGATTAAAAATGTCCAAAACAACATGTGGCCTGATGTTTTGTTCTTAGTAAATAGCTGCAGATCTGTAACCTGTCGATTACTGTTTTCCATGTGTGTGGAACACCTTTTTCTAAAATTAGAAGAAGTTGAAGCCAAGACTAAAGTTGGTTTTAATGTTTCAAGTGATCAGCTAATATTATAAGTTAATAATCGTAAGCGACTTATTTTTTTTCTCTCCTGTGTCATTAGATTTCCTGACCCACTCTAATTTGTATGAAGATGTCAATACTCCAGTTCACCCATGACACAGCCCTGCTTCAACTTGCCTGAGATAACCTAAATGAGATATTTGTACATAAAAAAGATACTTACTTTCTTTAGTATTAAACCAAAATGGTCTGTATTTTAAATGTTGACATTTCTAGATGTTTCATTAGGGTAGGAGTCTGTCTAGAGACTTCTGGAGAGAGGACAGCTCAGAAGTGGAGACCTGGGAGCTCTGGTGCTATAAGTGTGTATAGCTTAGTTGAGCAGAGCCTGGGATTTCCTTCTCTCTGTGTAGGTCCTTGGTATTTGGAATACAGTTTTCCCTCACCCCACTCCCCGTGGGCTTCTGCGAGTCCTTGTCAGACATCAGTTGATTAATTGCTCTTAAAACCTAAAAGAGACATTCTGGAATTACAGTGTTCTTAGATTCTTAAATGTCCTGTTATGTAGGATTCTGATAGGGGACTGTGCCAATTAATAGAACCTTAATGCACACGTCTTAGAATGGTTAATATTTCTGTAAAGGGTAGGAAATACAAAATATGAAATTATAACTGTCTCATGCTATCTTTTTCCCTTTTTTCTCATATAATTTCTTGCTCTTTGTATCTTTAATGAAAGATGTTTATCCTCACTTTAGAAATAACATTTTGATATTAGGAAAACACTGAAATGTTGACTCTTCACCCCTGTGGACAGGTAGTAGAGATAAGAGCCTATTCTGAAATGTCTCCTTTCCTAATTCAAAAGGCTTTGTCCCCTGTGTTTAATTATGTATTTGCTATAGTTTTCTGCTTGTTTTTCCTGTTTTAGTGGTAATTTCAAGAATAGTGTTTATCCAAACTTCAGAGTCTAGCATGTTAAATTGATTTTCAAGAAAGAGAAGGAGGCATCATTGAAATCATGACTAACACAGTTTTGAACATTGTATATTTGAAGTCTTTGTGCCTGCAGCTGCTGCTTTTACTTTATAATAAATATAACAGTAAAAATTGAGATCCTGTCAAAAAATTATTGCTGTTGTAATAATCATGACTTGCTTAGTTTCACTTATTTTATTTTTTTATTTTTTTATTCCTTATCAGAGTCAGTAGGTATTTGTTCTTACTGGAATATTTTGTGCTGTTGCTGTTTATAAAACTTACATTTTTATCTAGCAGTTGTACACTTTTGAGAAAATGTAACTGTCAGTAACTAGAAAGCATCTTCCAAATCATTTTATATGTCTCTGTAAGAGGAAACATGTCTACAGTTTTACTAGAACTTTGATTCTCTGCTGGGCCCTGGCCCAGTGATATACTGAAGACCCCCTAACCTCTCCCATCCATGGAGGTAAACCATTGTGCTGGGAAAATAAGAAGAGAGAGGAATTAATGGTGGCCTCAAAACACACACTTCTGAGTTTCTCTAATGAGAGTGTCGGTCAATGAAACCTTGGGATAATCCAAGTGGCACTGGAAATCTTTATTTCAATTTTACATAGAGACAGTGTTCGCTTTGTCACATAGTCACAGTTGGCTGAGTGCAGTGGTGCGATTATGCCTCGCTGCAGCCTTGAACTCAGCACCAGGAATCGTCTAAGTGCCTCTTCTGGTTTATATTTAGTGTGCCCTCTCTCTACCTTCCTGGTCTGTTGGTAGAGTTTAAGTTGATTTCCTGTGTAACTGTAATAACTATTTTAGGAATAGGAATAGTAGACGTGATACTGCTGAACTGCATTTAAAGATTCTATGCAATTAGACCTTTTAAGCTACAACATTGTTGCATTTTGGGAGTCTGATATACATGCGTGTTTCACAGTTTCTCTGCCTGGGGTTAATTTGTTCCTATTATACTAGATAAGAAATTGATAGCTTGTTATGCTTGATATTCATTCTGAAATCCTTATGCGTCTGCCACCCAGACTTCAAGCAGTCTCTACCTATTGTTATATCTACCAAAACTACCAATTATTTTTCAGTGTCAGAAGTTATTAGAACCACTGGTGAAACTTGTGGTTGAGTATGACATTTTTCTGCTTTTCCCTGTAAGTTTTTGAGAATGTTAATGTTGAAGTGTGTAGGTTGGACCTATTAGCAAGTTTAACAGGTTAATTAGGTTAGAAGAATGTTAAAAGGCGATTAAATATTAAATACATTCTGTTACAATGGTATCAGATAAGATACAAAAGAAATAGATGCTTATTGGGGCTTGTTAAGAGGATTACATACAGTTCTTGCTCCGGAGCACCTGCTCCCCTTGCGGCGGTTAGACTGCCTTGAGTTTGGCAAGTGGCTCCAGTTCCTAGAACAGACTCAGGAGTTAGTATCACCAGATGATTTCCACAGGCTCTGGCTGTGCTCCTGCCCTGACCGCTCGCTCTGTGGCTTTTCTTTCCCAGAGTTCTTCTTGGTTCCTGTTCCTTTAGTTTTCCCATCTTTAGGACACCTTCAGAGCTAACAGGTTTCATGTTTGGAAAGAAACATGGATCAGTGATAAAATCTCTGAAAGCTAAATGTAGTGAGCTTCCCTAACCCAGAAGAAACTATTACACACGAATATTTCTCTCTAAAGGTTAAGAGTATTGTTAACAGGTTGGTAAATTGTACCTGGTTTTCTTCAAAACTTATAATTTCTTGCCAGGGTGCTCCATAACTCTTGGTGGGGCTTTAGGCTAAGGGCTGCAGAATTTTAGCTCCTTGCCATCACTCATCCCTACCCCAACCAGGGTTATTTTTTACAAGCAAAAATTCCGGTTAAATTGAAGCTGAGTGGGTTACATTCAAAGTCAGTCCCAACAGCAAGTAGGCAGACCAATAAGCAAGTCTCTTTGTGATGAGCCCAACAGGGACTATTGGAGTCTCCACATGGCTTGCGGGCATCTGTCTGGGCCTGCTCTACATCGAGCAATTCAGCGAGACTGGGGTCATCTCAAGAATCTGTCCTTTCCCCTCAAGGTTGTCGGGTTTTTATGGCTCTAAAGCAGTGTTTTCAACCTTTTTTGTCTCATGGTACACTTGAACCTAAACTTCCTTGGCACACTTACGTTGATTTTAAAAAAAAGTATACTTCCTATGCTTTGAACCTCTTTTGAAATAATTTAATTAATGATCTTAACAAATTTTTGCAGCACACCATGGCACACCATTGTGCCACAGCATACCAGTTGAAAATCGCTGCTCTAAATGATCTAACTGAAATGAATTGTTTTAATTTCTTTGTTATTGAAAGTGTCAGCCTCAAACAGTTTGGACCATGTCTTAACGCTCTCATAGTTAGGCTTTGAACTGCTCTTTCTTGAGTCTAAGGGGATTTTTGCAGTAAAGACGCTTCTTGCCTGCTAACATGGTAGCAGCTATCCAGCCTCACTGTGGAGCATGTGAAATTGGACTTTGCTTAATGGAATTAAGCCAAAGAACTCAAGAGTTGCTTCTAATTACCTAAAGTAATACCCAGGTATAGCTGCGGGGTTTTCAGAAGCTTGTGAACTCATTTCCACGGGACAGTCATAGATCAATATTAGGACCTGTTAGCTAGGATACGCCCTACAGACACATGCCGCCTCCCACCTGCAGAGATGATCTCAGGGTTATTTCTGAAAACCTGCTGTGAGAATCAATAGATTTAACAGAGGAATGATTATTTGTAAAGTTGTCCCTAAGGAGGTTAATTCCTCCAACCCTTTTATCTGACTGGGTGGTTCAGCTATTCTTCTCTTGCATTTCCTTGAGTCAGAACTATATTCTAAAGGAGAACTAGTGTAAAGTCTGGGATCCTAGCCAGTGAGTTTATTTGGAGCAATATTAAGTGGTTTGCCAACGTGGTCTAACGATGCGTTTATTCTTTCTGGTCTTGGAAAGAGTTGCAAAAAGGGAAAGATGGTACACTCAGACCGAAATAATCAAAGTAGATGCTACCTAGTTGACATACTGTAAACAGGTTGGGTAGAATTAAGTTTCAGAACTCTAATCCTATGTTTAAGTTAGAAAGTTGCTTACCTCACTAGCATGAAACCTTGTTTCTTACATAAAAGAAAAAGATCCTATAAAATTGTCAAATTGGACATTGTCAGAGGCACTTCATACTTTACGAGTTTATATTTGGCTAACAGAGTGGTAGAGGTTAGGGGTCTCCTCCCTTCCCAGTTCTGCAAAATGGCCTAAGAATTACATTGCCAAGCCTTAACTCCGATTTGTACTGTGATGTATAAAAGGAATGTGTATATCAAACTGGTTTATACAGAAGATAAAATAGAAAAGTAAGCCTGTATTGAGTATAGTGATATATATTTTATGTTTACCCAATGCCTGTGCTAATCTTTGTGCTTGGCTTTGAATTATATAAATGTTTACATGTGGAATTTTTGAAAGAATAAAGAACAGTCACCTAAAAACTTTAGGTTATGGAAAGGAGATTAAAAACTAATTCTTCCCATCAGATTAGATGGAATGTTTTAGATATTTGGTGTTTAAATAAAAAACTTTAAAATAATAACATATTTTGCTTGGAATACCGACCAAACCAGAAAAGTTGGCAGCTGTTCTCTGTTGTAAATATGTACATGGTGTTGGTTGTTAGATTGTAAGCTCCTCAAGGGCAGGCATAGTCTCATCTCCTGTTCCTGCAGCACCTGACGTAAACAGTGCCTTGCACAGCATCGGTGCTCATGCCATGAGTGAGTGAGCGGCTTCCTTCTTCAGGATGAAATGTGTTCAACACTGCAAAGCCACTAGTACTGGGAGAGGGCTGAGTCTTTCTTGGGTTTGAACTCAGTTTGAATCAGATTCAACATGGGT